CAGGGACCACCTCCTGCGCCCTCCTCTGGTGTCGAGAAAGTGCCACGCCTGCTGTGCCTGGACGACCGTCGAGCATAGCGGCCGCGCTCAAGGATCACCCCCTGCGCACCCCCCCTGGTGTCGAGAAAGTGCCACGCCTGCTATGCCTGGACGACCGGCGCGTATAGCGGCGCGCTCAGGAACCACCCCCTGCGCCCCCCTCTGGTGTCGAGAAAATGCCACGCCTGCTGTGCCTGGACGACCGTCGCGCATAGCGGCCGAGCTCAGGGACCACCTCCAGCGCCCCCCTCTGGTGTCGAGAAAGTGCCACGCCTGCTGTGCCTGGACGACCGTCGTGCATAGCGGCCGCGCTCAGGGACCACCCCCTGCGCACCCCCTGTGGTGTCGAGAAAGTGCCACGCCTGCTATGCCTGGACGACCGGCGCGTATAGCAGCCGCGCGTCAGGGACCACCCCCTGCGCACCCCTATGGTGTCGAGAAGTGCCACGCCTGCTATGCCTGGACGACCGGCGCGTATAGCGCCGCGCTCAGGGACCACCCCCTGCGCCCCCCTCTGGTGTCGAGAAAGTGCCACGACGACCGTCGCGCATAGCGGCCGAGCTGACCACGCCCCCCTCTGGTGTCTGCTGTGCCTGGACGACCGTCCATAGCGGCCGCTGCTCAGGGACCACCCCCTGCGCCCCCCTTTGGTGTCGAGAAAGTGCCACGCTGCTGTGCCTGGACGACCGGCGCGTATAGCAGCCGCGCTCAGGGCTGCGCACCCCCTCTGGTGTCGAGCTCACGGGCTACCACCCCCTGCGCACCCCCTCTGGTGTCGAGAAAGTGCCACGCCTGCTATGCCTGGACGACCGGCGCGTATAGCAGCCGCGCTCAGGGACCACCCCCTGCGCACCCCCTCTGGTGTCGAGAAAGTGCCACGCCTGCTATGCCTGGACGACCGGCGCGTATAGCAGCCCGCTCGGGGACCACCCCTGCGCACCCCCTCTGGTGTCGAGAAAGTGCCACGCCTGCTATGCCTGGACGACCGGCGCGTATAGAGCCGCGCGGACCACCCCCTGCGCACCCCCTATGGTGTCGAGAAAGTGCCACGCCTGCTATGCCTGGACGACCCGCGTATAGGAGACCGCAGCGAGAGGACCACCCCCTGCGCACCCCCTATGGTGTCGAGAAAGTGCCACGCCTGCTATGCCCTGGACGACCGCGTATAGAGGCCGCAGCGAGAGACCACCCCCTGCGCACCCCCTATGGTGTCGAGAATAGTGCCACCACGACCGCTATGAGAGACCACCCCTGCGCACCCCCTATGGTGTCGAGAAAGTGCCACGCCTGCTGTGCCTGGACGACCGCGCGTATAGAGACCACCCCTGCGCTATGGTGTCGAGAAAGCCACGCCTGCTATGCCTGGACGACCCACCCCGCAGCGAGAGACCACCCCTGCGCACCCCCTATGGTGTCGAGAAAGTGCCACGCCTGCTATGCCTGGACGACCGGCGCGTATAGAGACCGCAGCGAGAGACCACCCCCTGCGCACCCCCTATGGTGTCGAGAAAGTGCCACGCCTGCTATGCCTGGACGACCGGCGCGTATAGAGACCGCAGCGAGAGACCACCCCCTGCGCACCCCCTATGGTGTCGAGAAAGTGCCACGCCTGCTATGCCTGGACGACCGGCGCGTATAGAGACCGCAGCGAGAGACCACCCCCTGCGCACCCCCTATGGTGTCGAGAAAGTGCCACGCCTGCTATGCCTGGACGACCGGCGCGTATAGAGACCGCAGCGAGAGACCACCCCCTGCGCACCCCCTATGGTGTCGAGAAAGTGCCACGCCTGCTATGCCTGGACGACCGGCGCGTATAGAGACCGCAGCGAGAAACCACCCCCTGCGCACCCCCTATGGTGTCGAGAAAGTGCCACGCCTGCTATGCCAGGACGACTGGGGCCACGCCTGCTATAGCAGGACGACTGGGGCGTATAGAGACCGCAGCGAGAGACCACCCCCTGCGCACCCCCTATGGTGTCGAGAAAGTGCCACGCCTGCTATGCCAGGACTGGTGTCGTCTTGTGTGTGCGAGTGTGTGCATGCGTGCGGCTGTATGTAGACGCGTGTCGCCGAGACGTGCTGTGCTGCGCTCTGCTGAGCTGTGCTGTGCTGTGCTGCGCTGTGCTGAGGAGGAGGAGGAGGAGGAGGAGGAGGAGGAGGAGGAGGAGGAGGAGGAGGAGGAGGAGGAGGAGGAGGAGGAGGAGGAGGGGAGGAGGGCGGGTGTGGGGGAGACGCGGGCGCGGCGCGGCAGGGAAGAAAACCATAACCCCACGAAGCATGTGGGGAACAAGCTATGATTAGCGCGTATAATTGCTTATTAGCTTGCACCCGTCAATTTTAGAGCTGACCACTCGCCAATTAGGATTGCCAGCGCTAGCTGGTATGTAGTCATATACGTATCTGCGCTAATTAGCGATGGGAAACTACTTAGCGCAGATAGGAAGCTCATGGCGGGGCCTCGCTGGGCATGGTTCTCGGGGGGATCTAGCCAAACCAACGTGCCAGAGGCGCGCCGAGATCTCCGGCGACTGCCGCGAAGCATTTCTACTTCGCGCGCGCGGGGCGGCCCCCAGGGGCCCCCGGGCGCAAAGTGCCCCGGCCAGGTCGGGCCGGGGGTGGTCTTCCTCCTGGGCGCGGCTTCCAGGCGCCCCGCAGCGACCCAAAAGGGCACCGAGAGGCGCCCATGGCGGTCCAAGAGGGTTCCGAGTCGTCGATCGATCGGCCCGCGACGCCACGACGGCGCCCAGACGGCCCGCGGCGCGCGCGAGTCTCCCGGAGAGGCGGCCGCGAGCTCAAACGACACCCGAAAACGAGGTTCGTTAGCGTCGAAAAAAACAAAAAACACAACATCGCTGCACCAATCTGCTCGGGGGGCGCAGCTTCATCAGAATTCCAGCTCGCCTGTCCAATGCGCCCGCGTAAGTCCGGAGAGCCTCGGCAAAAGCCTGTAGGCGCGAGATACGGTGCATCGGCTGCTGCTCGCGAGCGAAGTGCATTATGCCCCGGGGGCCCGCCCGCGTCCTGGTCGTAGCAGTCTAGCCAGGCGGGCCCATCGCGCCCTTCGCCTTGATGATGGGCGCGCGTGCAACGAAACGCCCCCTGAGCTCCTCTCGCCATCGCGCCCATCTGCACCTGCATCTTCATCTGGACAAGCTACTCCATGCACTCCTGGATCGACGGCAAAGGCACGGCTCGCCGAGCCTTTGCCGCCGTCGACGTCTGCACCTCTTCCACGCGGAGCGGTTGGATGCCCCTGGCTCGGGGGCGGGGCCCTGAGGTGCTCGCCGAACAACCCCTCTTCTCCCTGACCTGTCCAACGCGCCGCCCCTCGAGGATGTCGAGCCCACCAGCCCGCGCTGCCCCGCCGGCAGTGGCGCGCTTCCCGCCCCTCGCTCCGTCGGCAACCCTCACGCAGGGGCTCGCGGTACAGGGGCTCCGCGGGCAACTCGGCAACCTCCTCGATGCTGTCGCCCACGTCGCGTCGCAAACGACCTGGCTCACTGTCTTTAGGTGCCGCAGGCTGGGGCGTCACCCGCAAAACTATGGGCGGCTGGGCCCTGCCCCAACGTGGAGGGGCAGGGGCTTGCGATGTGGGCTCGCCTGGCTCTGTGCCTTGAAATGCCACAGGCTGGCTCTCTCGCATCATAACGCGAGCGACCCAGCCCTGCCCAGACGTGGAAGGACAGGGACTTCTCTTCTAGACAAATGTTTAGCAGCGCCATGACCAGGCACCCTGAGCCCTCGTGGAACAGCTTCTGCCTGTGGCCACCGCTGCTGCCCCTCCAGCTCGACCCTGTCGCAGGGCGATGTTCCCTTTTGTCGAGGTCGGCCTTGGCGGCGATGACCATGCCATGCTCGTTGCCGTAGATCCGCCGTATGGCCAACCAGGCCCGCTTGGACTTGGCCGCGGCTGACTGCTGTGGTGACGCATCAGGAGCAGCCTGAGGAATATCGGCAGCATGATCAGCACGATCTCGCCAGGGCGCCTCCTGGTTCCTTGAGGGCTGGCATCTGCGCGTTGCTGCGTTTCGCGTGCACTTGGGGGCGACCGAAGGCTTGCCGTCCCTGTCTCTACCGCACGCCCAGAATGCCCCCCTCGTAGCATAAATGTTGCGGAACCAACGCTGCCTTGTCGCCTTGCACAGCCATGCCTCCCCCTCCGCTGGCGGCGTGGCCACTGGGCCGTTAGGGGATGCGCTGCCGTGATGCGACCGCAACAACCGCCTGGCGGCAGTCTCGCGGAGCGTCTGCCGCGCTCTGGCACGCGGCGCCTGGGCAGGCGGCGATGCCAAGCAGACGACGGGTCTCGCCTCCCGAGGCCGCCCGCAGCTGCGAGATCGCCTGCGCCCACCGTCGGGCCGCAAGCTGGGGCCGTATGGATGCGCCCGCCGCGCGCCCCCGCGCGCGTGGGAGCCCAAACGGCAGCCTGGGGGAGGAGGAAGAAGAGGATGAGGAGGAGGAGCGGGAGGAAGAGGAGGGACGAGGTTTTTCCCCGCCGAAAGAAACACGGGGGGTGAGCAAAACCAAAGACCCTTAGGGGTTATAGCAGGGTCAGTGCTGAATTCAACGTCCTAGGAACTGCAGCCTGATGGGCCAGCATGAACTATAGGGGGTCAAATTTGAAGGACCGAACAAAAACAACAAGCGAAAGGCGCGTCCTGGCTAAAGGGCCCCCCTTCGGGGTCTATTCTAAGGCCCCAACGAATATATGGTAGGTTCGCGCGGCGTCGGGACGCGCAAAGGTTTTAGACACCGCCTCGATCGTTCAACATTGATCGCGGCCCCGATCGTTAAAGGTTGAATTCGGTCGGGTCCAACGGCGTCGCCGTGGCCCTCGGTGATTGCGCATCTCAGAATTCAACCTTGAACGCTTTCGTCGGCGTCGCCAGCGAGCCAACGCCGCATGAGCCATCATACTCGGGGTGGAAGGTCAATCCCTGGGTCTCTGCCCCTCCGAGCACCTCTCGCTCCAGGCAGTCCTCGATGCACAGGTGAGGCATGCCCCGCATGCGAGGCGAGCCCTTCAGCGTGCGGCGCCCAGAGGCGACGGACACGCACTCCTGGGCATGGGGCACGCGGGTCCAAAGGGAAACGGGTCCTGGATCCCAGAGGCTTCCCTCAAGACCACTCCTCCTCCTCCTCCTCCTCTTCCTCCTCCTCCTCCGAGTTTGGTCCTTGAGCTGTTTGTTCGACGGTCCCGGGGCCCGTGGAGGGCACCCAGCCCGAGGACGGCGAAAGCGGCGGACAGAATACACCAGCAGAGCACCCCGGTAGCAGCAGAGGCGAGGAGGCGGGCGAGCAGGAGGTAGGCTACAGGGACAGGGTTGAGAGCACGGGCATGCGCACCTCTGTGTACTTCCGACCAGGGATCGTACAATCAACCCGTATCAGAAGGATGCGCGGTAAGGATGCAAGGGCCTTGCAGGGCCACGTTATCGTTTCTCGAACGAGGCTGGCCAGCGAGAGTCGCTAAGGATGGGCCGAAGGGGCAAGAGAGCGAATTCACCCTTGGGAAGGTCGCCCATCCTTGTTATGCGGGTTGACTGTAGCCGTCCCGACCACACATGTAGCCGGCATCGAGGAGAGACCGCGAATTCTGCACAAGTTGTGACGTCTCAGGCGAAACGGCTGCCAGACTGGGCGTCCCCGGGCTCCCCGTCCCATTACTTCTATTAGGTCGCGACATCCGAGCCCTGCCCCAACCATGCATCTATTTCCCTGAACCGGTGGGAACCAGGGTAGGGATCGGATTTCGCCACGTGTTCGACGAATTCCGAGCCCTACCCCCGCCGTCCATCGAGTGGCCGGAATCATTGATCGGCGAGGCTAGGGTTCGGATCTCGCTGCCGATGTATGAGAACCCTCGAGCGAAACGTTATAATAAGGAACTCCACGACACGCTTCCTCAGGACTCGTTCGCTTCATGGCGAGCTCCTTCGCCCAGTCCAGCTCGTGGGCGTAGAACCGGAAGAAGCCGCGCAGCAAGCGGGAGAGGCTCCGGGCCACCCCTTGCTCGCCGCGCGCTGGCTGCGAGGACACCTCTGGGGGAACGGCAAACACACCGAAACCGCGACTCCACGGACCTCTATCGGGGTGCGTTCTGGCCTGGGCTTCGAAACAAATCCAGCCGTGGCGAGACGAGGGACGAGGCATGGGTACATCAAAATCTCCTCCTCCTCGTCCTCGGCATCCTACAGCTCTGGACCTGCGTGTAGAAGATGGCCAGCTGAGCGAACCCGAAGCCGCAAAGGCGCCCGCGCCCGTAGATCTGGCGCCTCCGGGCCCAGACCTTCACCAGGCTGACGAGCCTGCGCGCCAGCGGGTCACTGCGGGCCCGGAGGAACATATTCTTCTCGACGCAGATGAATTTGTTGATGGTCAGGTCCACCTGAGCGAACCAGAAGAAACGGGCCTCGCGCGAGACGCCACAGCAGCCTCGCGCGGTGGCTCACACGCGAGCCGCCAGCGCGGCAGGCCACCTCGGAAACAACGAGGGCGCTCACGCGCGACCTCGCGCGGAAACCTCACGCGCGAATGTCAGCGCAGCCGACCCCGTTTCCTTCCGTCGTTCACTTGGTTCCCTAAGAGCGCTTCGCCAGAGGGTTCTAATGGGTCCAGGAGGGAACAAACAGCTGCACAAACATGCGACGGTCCGCGCGAATTTCTTGCATCTGTGCTGGACCCCCCCACACTGGCGCGCGGAGCGCACCAGGGGCGGCGTAGGAGGCGCCGCCAGGGGGGCCCTTCGCATATCCAAGAAATCCGCGGGGAGCGCGAAAGTGCATGCTTATGATGCTTTCTCTTCTTCGAGGGTCGCTTTGTTCTGCGTCGCTCGCCAGGCTGTCGCTAATCGACGCTCATCGACGCCAGGCGACGCTAAGTCAGCGCTACGTCATCCTACGTTAGGAGGGCCAACAACATCGGGCGTACGGAGTCGTTTCTTTTTTCCTTTGCAGATATATCCGAGTCAACCACCCATGTGCACCCATATGCTCAGGAATCTTCCTAAAAACTGGGGCCCTAAGTTAGGTCACGAATCCACTGTGCTGCTAGGGTCAGGGGTCGTACAGGAAGGGCCCTTCCACAAGAAACTTCCAACAAGGAACCCAACCCTGAGACCCCAAGGCGTCCATGGATTTTTGGTGTGGGAAAGTCACGCTCCCCAGCGCAAAACCGTCGAAACCCAGGAGACCCAGGGCACCCTGGAGGCAAACAGGGTGGTTCTTGGCATGGGCCTCTATTGCATCATGCTGGATTATTCTACGAGGCTCCCATGATTTGCTGCCGAATCACCTTGCTGCCGCTGGGCACGTGCCACAGCGCCAGCGAGGGCGTCCTCACCGCGAAGGCGGCGCTGCGCGCGCGCCAGGCCTCGGAGCCGCGGGCCAGGCCGCGCGCGTCGCGCAGGGCCACGAGGCGCAGGAGGTCTGGCGTGGCGGGGCCGCGGAGGCCGCGACACAG